CCCAAAACCCCAAAACCCCAAAACCCCAAAACCCCTACAGAGATTATGATATAGGAATCAAATTTATAACAAAAAATAAATTATATTTAAATGGCTTCTGATCTAAAAGCCTTGTATCGAATCTGGTCGCTTATCTTACTTTTGTTAGTCTCCACTCTGGCTATCACATGACCAGATGGGAGCTATGATAATTCAGGAGTCTGAGAACCTTGTCACTCCTCTTGATTTACATGAGAAAATGGCACTGAATGACTGACATGAGATGAACAAACATTAAATCTCTCATCTAAGCTGTGAGAGTACTGTCCTGAAGGTGAATACTTTGATACTCCAAGTCAGATTTGTAGAAGCTGCGGAGATAGCTGACTGGATAAATGAGCATACCAAACTTCATGATTCCAGTGCCCTACAGGTGAAGTTCTTAACTTGTCTACTCTCACTTGAATACCCGCATGTAGTAGCGTTCAAATCAAAATTAAGGATGCACATTTCCAAAACATTCCTTTTTGTCGGGATAATGAGTATTATGTTGACCCCTCAAGCATGAAAATTATTGAGTTGGGAACTGAAAAGTATCCATATAAAAGTATCAATCTGGTATTCGTGGAGCTGCTTAACATTAGATCTCACTCGGAAGACTCCATTACGATTTTCTTAAAAGAGAACACCATTGTAAATATTGAGAAGGGGTACAATTACATTGCTAATATTTCATCAGTGAAAATAGAAAGCTATGGTTCATCTAGCCAGTCAGGAAGAGCTACTCTCTATGTAAGGCAGAGCGCAGTTGAGATGTTCAATTCTCAGACATTGTTTAACCTAGTAGTCAATCGAACTTTAAACATCTTTCCTAAAATAAATGTGGCAGGAGTAAGTTCTGGTGAAATTTCGATACTACAATCCCTAGACACTTGTATCTTCATCTGGAGGTCGAACTTTACTATGAATAATGTAAACATTCGGGGAGACATTGCTAATGATTTCAATATTAGGTCTTACTTCTTAAGGCCTATTTATTTACAAAAGAAGTCTGTCTCTCTTCATAATCTTGATGTACAGCTAACAGGGTATTTCTTAATTACAACAGACCCCTTAACTATGGATTTGCTCAATATTTACATTGATTTTCATGCTATGATGGGAGGATTTTGGATGAACATTAACTGTAATTACCCAGAAGCTTACTTAGAAGGCAAGATTACTTCTAAAAATATCACTGCTGTAAACCCAGTTGACAGAGTAGCTCCCTTTAGAGTCCCTTTATTCGTCACTTCTGGGCCTGAAGATATCTATCTCGAGGATACTAATCTTTTAATATGGGGCTCTCTGAACGAGGACAGAGCTCCCATTGAAACTACTGTGACTTCAGATTGAATGCCAGATGATGATAAAGACAATACTTTTACCTTTGTTGGAACTAAAATGACTTTGACTGACAATCCTGGAGAGGATAAATTCATCAATCAATATGTTGATATAGTTCAAAATGCATACAGAAAATTTATTGTGAGCTATATTTCCAATGAATTCACAAATATGTACAGAATGTCTTATCCAAGCATTCTGGTATATTCGAATCCAATGACTGAGGTATCTTTAGTGAACTCCACTTTCACAAATGTTACAACAATTAACGGAGGTATCATGGTTACCCTTATAAAAAGCATCCTCATTGAAAATGTTATTTTCAAAGATTGAGATGAGTTTACCTTTGCTACAATAAATTTACTAGAAGCTGACTCTTTGACCATTAAAAACTTAACACATCAGAATGTAAGTGGCATAGGTAGTTCTTTTGAAAGGTATGTCCGCATTAAAATGAACTCAGGAGGAATAGTTGACCTCAAATCCGTCAACTTTCTAAACTGTGATATCAAGCTTAGGCCTGCCGTTTACTTAGAAGGAGCTGTTGCAAAGTTACAATTGAAGCACTCTAATTTTGAAAATGTCAAAGTCGGAACGTCTAATTCAATTATTGTTGCACAAGATGTGAGCACTCTTGAGTTTGAAAATTGCACGTTCACAAGTATTACCTCTTCCATACCAAATGATGAAGATAATTTGATATTCAATATCCAAAATCTTGATCTTGACTCTGCTGAAAACTCGACTATTTCTGTGATCACTGTAAGATCTTCACAGATAAGTTTCTTGAGTTTTAACTCAATACAAGGCATTCTATCATCAGCAGTGCATATTGGGTTTAGCTCGTTAACCTTTGAGGATTGTGCTTTCACTTCTTCAATTTCAATGCTGTCTTTAGGGGGTTTAGAGACAAAGGAGGAAATATCATTCTCTTTCACTGGACTCACTTACCAAAATATCAGCTTTATTTCTCAAGGGAATTTGATGAAGTTTCAGCATCAGATGAACACGCCAGTGGCTATAACAAATTCTACTTTCACTAACATCTCTGCTGGAAATATTCATATAGAATCTGCTAATAAAAATAATCAGGAGTTAACTACCAGGGTTGCATTCTCAAGCTGAACATTTTCTCAGATTGATGACAACTACGGATCACTCATGGAAGTCTATGAAGGTGCAAGAGTCACCATTGAAGATTCTAATTTTCAAGAAATTTACACACTTGAAGAAGGAGCAGTGATCTTTGCAGGCAACAGAAAAGCCCAAATTGAGATAAGAAATTCAACTTTCAGAGAGAATTCTGCTGTAACTGGAGGTGTTTTTAATATTGAGAGCAGCAGTGTGATCAAAGTTTACGATTCACTGTTTTCGAATAATTTTGCTGTCCAAGCATGAGTGATTTATGCTGTGAACTTTGGATCTTTTGAAATATACAATACCACAGTGACTCAAAATAATGCAGTAGCCAATTCTTTTGCACGAATATTTGATGCTCCTACTACCTCAATTATCAATAATTCTACTATATATGAGAATAATGGATTAACTTCTGAAGAAGTAACATCTGAATTAACAATTGCATGTTCTAAGCTATGATTCCTATCAGAGAAGTTCAAAGCTTATCTCCTTGCTAACCCTAATGTTTACTCAATAGTCTCTTCATCCTATGTGATACAGGTTATTATCGGAGCCCTGGAAATCAACAATTTCAGCAATTTTTACCATGATTCTGAAATCTTGGATGTCTCTGATTCAACTCTCACTATTCAAAATATGGACTTCCACAACTTGTCAGAAGTGCACAATGTAATAAAAGTGTCATCTTCAACTGTGAGCATGGATACAGTCAAATTCTACGAAATAGAATCAGCAACTTCTTCAACCACTCCACTCATAAGATTTGCATACGAGTGTGTTCTGACTCTGAATAACCTTGAGTATTATAACTCTAGTGCGGCTTTCTTATCAATATCAGCCTCATTAGGGAATATTTCAATGTTAAGCTTCCATGAGGTCCATGTTAATACTTCAAATCCTCGCCCAATAATAGAGCTAGATGGGAACACAGAGATGCTGATTTTAGATTGGTATGTTGTAAACACTTCAACAAGTTCCGAATATTTAGTAACTTCCGATCATAATTCTGTGGTTTCAATTAAGAACATGACCTTCACTGGGATAAGACAAAGCCCGATTTCTTTTTCAAGTTGTACCATTGGAACTATGGATCAAATTAATATTAATAGCTGTTCAAGAGGAATCGTACTTTTGCAAAGCTCATTCAGTCAGATTACTAACTCGAGTTTTAATGAATTAGGCTCTAGCTCGATTCAATCAGGAGGAGCAATCTTCATAAAAGACTGTAATGGCTCTATCAGTGATAGTAATTTTATGAGTAACACTGCCATTACAGGAGCAGCTATTGACTTTTCTTGCTCGTTGACTTCTGTATGTCAGAGTAGTCTCATCAACAACACTTTCACAGATAATAAAGCAGTTAGCAAAGGAGGGGCTTTACATTATGATATGTTTAGACCAATCCTGCAAGATAATACTTTTCTGTATAATTCTGCTCCTTACGGACCGGACATTGCTAGCTATCCTATACAAATTAAGAAGAAAGGTACCAAAGGAGGTACTCTATTCCTATCAGACGTTGGAAGTGGAATTAAATATCAGAATACTCTTACATTTGCTTTTTATGACCATGATGAACAAATACTATCTCTGGACTCTTCATCTCAAATCACAATTTCAGGGAACTCCACTGGGAGTAGTGTACTTGGAGTAAAAGCAGTGAAGGTCACCTCTGGAGAAGCTATCTTTGATGATCTACAGTTTATCTCTGCGCCAGGAGCTCAAACTGTCCTATATGATATTGAATCTGGAGGGCTTGATCTCCAAAAACTCAAAATTGTGTATGGAGATACTTACCAGCAAGAGAAGATTTCTGTTAATTTTAGATACTGACAGCCAGGTGAACATAATACAACCAGCTGCGAAGAATGTTCCCCTGGAACTTATTCATTTACTTGGAATTCAACTCAATGCCTAAAATGTATTGAAGATGCTACTTGTGAGGGTGGGAAAGAAGTCTCAATAAACCCTGGGTATTGGAGAAAACACACTAACTCAACTGATATCACTGAGTGACCAAACAAAGATGCATGCAATGGAGGATTTTCAGAGACTGACAGATTCCCAGTAAACTGAGCTGCAGGATATCAAGGATATCTATGTACACAATGAATTTCTGATGATCAAAGTAGATATGGACAAGTTGATTCCTTTGTTTGAGAGAAATGCCCTGAACCAATACTTAATGCTTTAAGAGTGATAGGAATTTCTACGGCTGTTATCATCTTTCTTTGTCTCCTCATATTCATGAACATTCGCAAAAAGGATGAGAGCCAGAAATCCATACTAATGAGGATCCTCACTAATCACCTCCAATTAACCACCCTAACATTTGCTTACAACATGAAGTTCCCTGATATATTCCTAGACCTTCTCTCTCCCCTCTCAAGAGTAAATTCTTCTTCACAATCGATTGTATCTTTTGACTGTTTCGCCTCTGAGTCACAACTAAAGCTATTTACACCATCAATTGCTATTCTAAAAGTTGGCTTATCTGCTTTGTCACCATTAATACTCTTATCAGGCTGTTTGATATTTTTCCTAATTTGACATTCCCTTTTCCCAAGATACTTCTCTGATTTTAAAAGGAATATGGTGGTATCGATCATTTCGATAGTCTATTTCTTACACCCAACAATCTCGACGTCCGCATTTGGTATTTTTCAGTGAATAGAGGTTGGAGAAGGCGAGAGTAGGATGAGACTAGACCTTAATATCGGTTGTTACTCTTCAGACCACCTCATTTGGGCCTTCTCTCTAGGATTACCTATGATCATTGTTTGGGTCATAGGAGCACCTCTTTTGGCACTCAGGATTTTGTACAAGCACAGAACAAGTCTTCGTGAACTACAAACTAAGAGGTATCTTATTGTCATGTACCAGGGGTTTAAAGAGAAATATTACTATTGGGAGATACTCAACATGGCAAGAAAGATCCTTCTACTTGGAATCAATGTGTTTCTGCCAGAAAGCTCAACTACAGCTAAAGGAGGACTTGCAATAATTATAGTATGCTTTTTATACAGGCTACAAATACAGTGTTATCCTTTCAAGATGATTCATAACAATAATCTTGAGCTGACCTCATCCGTAGCAACTGGTGTGACCTTGACTGCTGGTTTAATTTTTGCTAGTGATGAGACCCACGACATTCTTGATTTCTGAATATTCATCTTCATATGAATCTTAAACTTAAAGTTCTTCCTGAACTGGACTTATCTGATGCTAATTGAGTGAGAGAGCTCTATGACATGCCTAAAGAAAATAACTATCGTACTAGGTGCAATTCTAAATAAGAGGAGGGAGAACTACCTTCCCTCCGATGCAAAAGCCAATATAATCGATAAGAGAGTCAAAATTCATTTCAAGAGTAGAAAAAGGCATAATAAAAAGAGACTTCATAACAAAAAGGGTAAAGCCAAAATCAGGAAGAAAAACAAAAAGATTATGATCAGTAAATTCCTCAGTTTTACGATATAGATGATTCATTCTCAGATGTTGACCTTGTTATGGCTAAGAGGCAGAGAGAAGAACATTGAAATATTAATGAAGAAAGACAGGATATGGAAGATAACAAACGAAATAGAAGGAGGAGGTCTCAAATGAGTATGCTAAAACAAACAAAAAATGTTGAAGTCTTTCAGAATACTTCTTTAATAGGAATCAAGAATCTGTTAGCGAGGAACACCCAAAAGGCATCAATTGAGATATCTAAGCAAATACCAGAGCAAAAATATCAAAGGAATATCAATGCATGGGACAAAAATGAAGGGATAGAGGATTTGGGCAGTTATGAGAAAGGACAGAATATGTATGAAGAAACCAAGTACAAAGGGGATCAAAATTCAGAAGAGAATAAGCATAATGAAAATAATAGGGATGAAGAAGAGAAAATTTTAGCTAAGATGCTAATCAATAACATTGCCACGAAGAGTATAAAATCGAATAGAAACTTTCATAAAGAAAAAATGTTAAAAATCGATGAGAGCAAAAAGTATAAGATTATGAACAAAAAGCTGAAGAAGGATAAATATAAACCACCCCTACCCACATACCAGGTGCAAATAAAGTCCATCATCCCACTCGACTTCCCCTCTAACCCCTCTTCCCGCACTCCAAAATTCCCTCCTGATCCAAAACACCCCTCTAGCTTTCCGCCTTAACCCCTAAAACCTCTAGTAACTCAAGCTGAGCTTAAAATTTTAGAATTTGGTGCTTTCAATGGCTGAAACTTAGCCTGGGGTTTTGGGGTTTTGGGGTTTTGGGGTTTTGGGG